GGATCTCTGCAGCATAACACGAGGGTTCAGGGTCTAGGGTTTAGGGTTTAGGGTTTAGAATTTAGGGTTTATGGTTTGGGGTTCGGGGTTCAGGGTATAGGGATAAGCATGACGAGTTGTATAATCTATGCGTAGACGACATCTGCGTTGATGTGCTGAAGGCAAGATAAACCTAGACAGCTGCTCCTTCAGGAGACTAATCACCACCGGCACCACGACGACGACGACGACCACTACTTCTTCTTCTACTACCACTACTGCTACTGCTACTACTACTACTACTACTACTACTACTACTACTACTACCACTACCACTACCGCTGCCACTACCACTACTACTACTACTACTACTACTACTATTACTATTACTACTACTACTACTACTACTACTACTACTACTACTACTACTACTCGAACTCCTACTCCCGCTGTCTCTGCTGCTACTGCTACCGCAAGCTACAGCTAGAGCTACAATTCACCATAAACGCATGTGACATCTATCTATCTATCTATCTATCTATCTATTATCTATCTGTTTATTTATCAAGTAGTACACATTCACACACACATATCGCAGGCACTCTCAAGGAGCAACACTACTGAGTCTTCAGGCTCCACAAGTGTCCCTAATTTGAAGCTCGGCGCTGCTTCACCCAGCAGGCTCGCACTTGGAACGGAACGGATTCCCAGCCAAACCCCGGAGCAGAGGGCCCCGCCATGACCGGAGCAGGTCGTGTTCTTGTCACAATAGACCTTCACCGGCGAAGTCGCAAGTCATGATAAGTCATTGCAGGTTCAACAGCAGTCTCTCGATGCTGCTGCTGGCACTACGTCGGACTACGCCTCACCAGTTCGCTATGCCACGTCAAGCCAAAGCCCGAAATGCACGAAGATGCACGAAGCACTGTTGAAGAAAATGACAACGTAGATGCAAAGGCCGGCTGCAGATCCCATGCTGACGACTGGAGTAAAAAGAGCAAACTCGAGGTTGAGAGGGCCCCTCAGGTCCCCAGCAACTGTACTGCTAGGCTCAGCTCCGAACGTTGCAAACGCGGGAGGGATAGTAGTTCCGGGCACACTGCCGGCAGTCTTCGCCTGGGTCAGCAATGTCCCACATCCAAGTCAAGAAAATTGCTGTCCCCGTGAGATGATCCGAGAAGAAGAGAGCATGTCCAGTGTGAGTATCTGTAAAACTAGTGTGTTGGTAATGCCTTTCGTAATGTTTCGGTTCGTCGTCGTATGTCTTGCTACTGCATGGTTGCTTAATGTTGTTGTAGTTCCACTTGCGGCACTCGCGTCCTTCTGTGCTACGATTCTGCTCAGTTTGCCGCAGGCATCATCTTCTCTCCATGAGCCTTAGCCTTAGAACGCTGAGACCAGTGGCCGTCCCAGCTCTCATAGCAGGCGCAGCCGTTGATCAGGTGCGTGACAGGGTCGGTTGTGCACTCCTTGGAACGTGAACTCGGGAGGAGCAGCAGAAGACACTACCACTGCGGTGCTCGTCTGCGAGCTTTCGACGGCTAAAGCAGAGAAGTGCACTTCCGAGCTCCAAACCGGTTGACATAAGTTTGCCTCACATCTCTTCCGAAGCTGCCCGGCCCTCCTTCGACACCTCGGCACCTCGTGTCATGTTCTGTTCGGACTAGGCAGAGTCTGGGGCACAAGCTCCGTTGCCACTGCAACGGTCGTCGGGATGGCAGTAGATGGCACAGCCTGGAAAGAGGATGCCCGCACTGCGTCAGCCGACGCTTACTACTTCCGGACCGACAAGCACAGTTAGCATTGGCAGAGAAAAGGGCGATAAGGGCAGGCTGGGACACCGAACTCAAGCGTCGATAGAGCGCACAAGAACAACTTGACAACTCGGCTTGTGGCCATTTTGCAAGTTGTAGTAGTACTCACCGCACCGGTCGCACCTAAAGAAAAGCGTGGGCCAAGATTCGCTTCGGAACCCTACCGGCTGGCTGCCATCCTGACAGCCACTAAACCCTTCCGCAGCTGGCTCAGTCCCGAACGTTTCACCAACATATCCCGGCTTGCAATAGCAGCTGCCATCTCCTTCAGGTCCTGGCCCCGACATCTCCAAACAGATTCGAGAAGTCCCCTGGTCTGGTCATGCGTGCGGTGGCCTTCGTTGCAACCTGCAATGCCAGCTCCAGTGCAGTTGCACCTGAGCCCGGACACTCCGAACAAATCCGGTGCAGGTCAGGCATTGTGAAGTCTGACAAGGCCAAGAATCAGCACCTGTCAATTAAATCCACACTGCCCAGGTTGGCGCATAGCATCTAACTCTTATCTCTAGTGGCAGGCAGGTGAGAAGCGAGCCAAGAGCCCCAGTGCCCGGAATGGCAACAGAGATGAAGTGGACACACGAGGGTCATCCAGGTTGTGAAGCAGATCCCCTGCTCTCCAAATTCATGAAGTATCCTGCTGAGCCTTGACTCGACTAATAGCTTCTCAAATAAGTAGAGCGGCTGCTCTACTTTCAACTCTAGCAACTCGTCACGACTCGCCTCTGGAGCCGCACATCTCAACCCTCTGTGTGGATCCTCTCAGCAAGCGGCAATTGGTCGCATTGCGGCCCGTACCATCCATCTTCACAGATGCAAACCTTCATCAGGGCAGAAGCATTGAAGCGAATTGCCAGGCTACGTCGGGGAAACAGCACGTGAGAGGCCCGGAATGAGATTGCCTGCTTCCGTGGACGAGGGCACTTTGGGCATGATCTGAATGAAGAACCAAGACAGACGAGGTCACTCAGTGGGGATACTTTCAGCTCAACCGTCTCGCATTTGCGATAGAAAAGCCTCTCTCACGCCAAAAGAAGAAGCCCTATAAACTGTAAGCCACTTCGGAGCTCCAGGCCCGACCGCCCGGCCTGGTCTCCTTGCAGGTTTACGCCGCAGCTGAGCCTCGTGATGGTCGTCTCTGGCACCTCGGGGACCTTGGTCGTTGCAAGCTGGGCTCTCCGCTCCAAGGCATTTGCAAAGTCCTTGAAATACAGAGGTTTGTCGTTTGCAGGGTTTGAGGTTTCCCAGCCCGAAGAACTGCAGCTTAAGGTGCTTTATAAGCTATCCCAAATCCTGAATGCGTCTGTAAGTAGAGCTCAGGAATGCCGGTCTTAGAGGGCAGGCAAGATATGCCGCAAGCCGCCAAGCCCAAAAAAGAGAGACTGAGAATAAACCTCTGCCGAACTCGAGAAGCTCAGCAGCCGCAGCTGCAAGCCCACGGCCGAAAGCTTGGAGGATCCGCTTAGGTTTAGGATTGGGGAGTTCGGATATGTACGCCCTTCGCGCAGTACGTTTCAATGAAGTGCCGTACGCCCGGGTCGTCCAGTCCTCAGCCCGTGGCATTCGTGACTCTGAGCTCGGCAACCGGCCAGGAGAGATTCAAGCCGGCCACACCCCGCACCTGCGTGGGCTAGCGGCTAGTAGTAGTAGTAGTAGCAGCAGCAGCAGCAAAAATGGAAGTATAATAGTGTTACAAGCATTACTACCGCAGCTGCAGCAAGCGACCTTGTTGTTCTGTGTCGCCTGAAGGGTGCAGAGGCAACGTCTTTTGGCTGTAGGATTTCACGTGTGTGTTGCTGAGATCGAGGGCTGTGAACGCCGCCTCGACGTGTGCCACCGCATCAAGAGCTCTCCGTCAGAGAGAATATGAAGATTCAGTAAGCATTCCGCTGGGATCGTGTGAAAGATTCGTTGGCCTTCTACAGTTTCTACGAAGGTGTGCCTGCTGCAGCTAGCAAGAGATTAGCTCTCGGCCCGCTCCCTAAGGCACTTTCAGATGTATGCAGTAATTGTGCAAAGGCGGCACTAGTCCATTTAACAAAAGACAAAGCCCGGTGCTTGCACTGTGGCTTATCGCTTCGACTGAACTGCTCGTTCTCTAGACAATGCTACATGCACATGGGAAGGAGCGAAAGGCTTCTTTTCACGATTGCCACGCTCTCTCTCTCTCTCTGTCGACATCGCGTCGAACGTCGGTGGCCGGTTGCTTGGCAACTGCCAGACACACCGGGAGGCAGCTTTTGGAGCTACATGTCTCATGACGAAAAGCTGGACTGCAAGGCTTCCTATCTCCTGCATCCCGTTCACACTCTGAACAAAATGCAATTGAGGAACCACGCAGAATCTATCACCACCATGATGGGACAACGCTTCTGCTTCGTGCTTCATGTTGTCTGTTGCTTCGTCATGGCTATGCATGAGACGCACAGGAAACTGTGCTCTACCGGAGGTCGGCCCAACAATCATCTACGCCGCGAGTGAGTGAAGGTCGAGCTCCTTTTCGGACCTGCGGCCTCCAGTGTTCTTTGGCCCGAACGGGCAGGTTCATGACGGAGCTCTGGGAGGTCTCCTCCGTCCAAGAACATGTCGGAAACCTTGGACTGGAACCCCTCTATAAGGGGAAGATTGCGGCTTGAGGCCTGAGCAGTAGCGACGGACGGACCTCCCAAGCCTTTCGCGCTTGCAGGTCGAATTCGTGCACGGGATGAAATGAACTGCTTAGGGTTTCGGATGCAGGGCATGAGGCAAGATGCTAGTGAACCAGGCGCAGTGAATCAGGCCATCTTCTTTATACTGGTCACGCTGTTGAATTTGTGCTACTATCCGTAGGTTCAATGATCATTGATGCTATTCTGTCTGTTGCCTTGTTTCACGTTGGCAACAATGCCCTCACCGAAATATAAATACTTGCAAGTCGGAAAACCCCTAAATCAACAAATGGAGCTGGAATAACCACAAAAGCAAAGGAGTTTCATGGAAACACATTGGCACTCGCACCTGTGTACTAATGTCGACAGCGCAGTGATGACAACGGGTAACCAGAACACCAACAGCTGTTACACGACTCGATAGACTTGTATATACAAGTGTAATTAAGCCATTCATCTTCGTTGAACTCATCACTACCCCATCATTTTTGATTAGTAAAAGAGGTAGAATTCTTGTGGGGTTCCTGAAGCTACGTGAATGTCGGCCTCAGACTCAGAGCTGCTACCAGCCCAGCCATTCCTGCGCTCCGAGACGGGGGTTTCCGGATGGAGCGAGGCATATCTTTCAATGTGTCATGAACCTGCACATTTCACCTCAAGCTCTGGTGATTGTTGAAACCATGTCTTCTGGTTATGTACAGGCAAAATCTGACAATTGCGCAGAGAAGCCTGTTTTGGATAATTCCGGTTGGGCCACACAGAAACAGCTTCATTCACCGGTCTTACTGGCAATGCCTCACTATACTTATACAAAGACCCGCCTTTGCCAGCCTCAGCCGGAGTTCTAGATCCGGATCGTTGAAGCCCTGGCATACAGGCGTCTTGTCTCCCTAGAGCGGCTGTATCCACCCACCTGCAAAACGGCTAGGGAAGGGGAAGATGGATGGGGCAATGTCTGAACCGTCTTCGATTGCCTTTCCTAAACGGCCGCTGTTTCACGGCAACCCTGCACTCAGGCTCTGCCGGCAAGTAGGACAGGGAGCCTGCAGGAAGGTCATTCCGAAGATTCCAACCTGGCTTTTTCCGGGGTCGTTCAAGGCACTAGGCAAGAATCCTTTTGAGGGGCTTCGGGGTCGGCGTGACTTGTTTATTGGTTTCAGGCTGTATACCTGTATGCACTGCCTGTAGCGTCCAGATGACAATCCGGGAGTAGTGTGGGAAGCCTGGAAAACTGCATCTTCGGCGTCGAGCTTTGGGATATGAGTCTTTGGTGCTCACTCGTACACGACGGACAGACTCGTATTTGTACAGTTCGCAGTCTGCAACGTCAGATCTTCCCCGTTGCACCTGCCCAAGGGAAAAGGGCTAGTATAGAGGTCTCGATTGCTTGAGAGACATTGAGGGACTCTTCGTGGGCCTTGCTCCGGTTGTGGGCCAGAGTCCGGTCACCATGGGACAAAGCCCTCATCCTCCGCGCAGCTCTCACTAGTGTCTTGTTCTTCATACTAAAGTTCACGTTTATATGTATGTATATATGTATATACATATACATGTATATATAACCTATATACAAATAGATGTATAACAAATAGATGTATAAATATGCATATTCTGATCATATTCTGCATAAAGATCCGTCATATCACCATTGATACTCTCAGTAAGTTAGTCGTAGGGCTCGCCGTGAGCAACTCGGGCCTTGGGCATCTCCTTGGACCATTCGTCGGGAACCCTTAGCAGCGGGACTCTTTCTGAGGTGGGGTCCGACCCGACATGGTATCAGAACTAAAAAGCATTACTAAAAGGTTTTGTCTATTTAGAAACCCTCCTCAGCAGAATGACAGAGTATGCGAAGCCTTTCTTCGTGATGATCTTCGAATTAGCAGCAAGACTGTAATTATTCGAGCAGCGCAGATGATCCTGAAAGAGTCATAACAGTGACATCAGGGTACAGCGGGCTTGTGCAACTTCTGACATCTTGGGAGCAAAGGGCCCAATTGCGCAACACAACTTTCCTTGTCTCAGGGTTACCGCTCCGAATACGAACCGATCAGAGCCGGCCCAGCCGAGAGGCAGCCACTTGGACCCCTTGTCGGCCAAGTGAGCTTTTTCGCCTCCGCAAACGGTGCTGGGGCTTAAGGGTATTCAGGTTCAAGGCACATGGTGGAGCCTTATGGTGTACGGGCTCCCTAATTCAGACCCTTCTCGATTCGTCGGCTGCCCTGCATGCAAGGTTGTCGCATGGTCGCGTGGGCGAAGCGGAAGGGTGAAACTGCCCATTGGGAACTAAGTCCATGGCTCCAATACGGGGCGTCAATGTTTTCCTTGGCTTGCTCAGACTCATGTAGTCAAGCAACCGTCCACTTGCTTTTCGCCTGGTTGTGTTTTTGTCTGTGCTCTCACGTTCGTTATTCTCAATACAACCATGCGAGTCAGAAATACTTAAAAACCCCTGCCTTCCTGCCCTGCTGCCTTCTGGCAACGCATGTTCCTTCTGCATACCAAGATGCGCCGCTCTCTTCTTTGCACACGCGGAGAAGGCACTGTGCGCAATGCCAGTCTTCATGCAGCGTCAGGTCCATCATGTAACCTCCGACGTGGACTCTTGCTTCTGAGAAGTTTCGCGACAGGCCCTTGACCTCATGGAGGAGCAGGGTAGGACAAGCTTCTGCTGTCGACCCACATTCCGGTAGGGCTATGCTGCAAGGAAGCGGTTTGCGTGGCCAAGAGAGACTGGATTGTCAAGCATGTTGTAGTCCTGAAGAAGGCGAAAGTAACACTGTCAGCAATAGTACGAGTAGTCATGTGAGGAGAAGTCGAATTGGGGGGAAGGTTCGGCACTGCTGTGGGCGAAGACTAGCTGCTCAAACTGAGGGAACTCCCATCCGATGACACATCCACAGGAGCTGAGACAATGGCAAGCATCCAGACACAAAGCAAGCGACGGGACATAGACACATAGACACTAATGGAAACATACAGTAAACATGGATGACTGCACACTGCGTGGAGGCAGGAGCTCATGGCTGGACTCAGCTACAAGGCGGCATGTCACTGGTCCTTGAGGATAGGCCGCATGCGCTCTTCGTCGATTGATGCTTCCGCCATGCGTTCTGTACCTCGGATTCGACAGGCCCGTGAGATCATGGAGAACTCGATTGAACACTCGAACCTCCTGTCTAGCACAGAGCAGGGCCGAACAACTCCTGCTTCTCGCTTGCATCTGTTTGCAGCAGCTCTCATGAGAATGATAGAACTGATGCGGCCCAACTAGCAGCCGGGACCTACCTTCGCGACACAAAGCAACGGGCCCACACATGTGACCACATGTCTCTCGCATCGCTACAAAGCTTTCGGCGACGCTCAAACAGTGGTGCGGTGCAAAACTGTGCTTTGTCTTGTGCTTGCTACCATGACCAGAGGCGCAGCAATCACAATCGCAAGCCGCTTAAGCCGCACGTGAATGCTGGGAATAGCAGGATTAGGAGTGCACATGGGGATAGCCCCCTTTGAGCGCCCAATCATTACACCCTCTGACTGATGATGCGAAGCTCCTGGGAACGAACCATGGAAAGCTCGCCGAGTGCAGGTCTGAGAGCCAACCCGCAAGAAACAACAACAAGAGCAGTGGATAATACGAGGCATGTCTAGCCACTTACAACGACCTTCATGCTATCAGGACCATTTCGCAACCACAAATTGACCATGGTAGTCCGGCCCGGTTGCGAGACTTCGGCTTGGTGGCAGGAAGACCTCTCCGAGGCATGGAAGATCCGGGGTCGGCGGCGTCGGAGAGCGGGTATGCGTTTGAGCGGTGCGAAATTCCAGGGGTGGAAAGCTGAGATGGTGACGATCTACTCAATGCACGATGCAATAGATCTCGAGCACGAGTTTAGCGCCGAGACATCACATGAACAGCTCATCTTGCTGCAAGTTTTGGGTCGCTGCAGCTTGATTCCAGAAGTATCAGTGGTAGATAATGCCAATGCTACATATGCTTTACAGTATATGCATTCTCGCGGCTTGACTTAGAGTACTAAGTTTTATTGCCGTCCTTGTCTCCTCATCGCACTAAACCTGTAATGAACCGATCGTCGGCGACACTGGTCCAAAGGCCTGGTCCTGCTGGCCCGGCATTTGAGGCTCGGCGTGTCATCAGCACCATCCTCAAAGACGAGCGCGATAGTGGGAGTTCGAGTTTAGGGATTCTGTTCATATGTTTCCATCAATGCTGGAGCGCGAACATCACTCCATGATCGTTGCGGTTCGAAGCACGGGCTTTATTCGAGAAGCCACCTGTTCTTTCTAGTGCTTTCTAAGCATGTCATAGCAGTGACCTTTTGGACCCACATGGCGAAATCAGAAACACGTTTTAATAGAGCGCCTCCCCGCCGGATTCATGTCCGTAGGATCCTCTGGCGGCGGGATGATGAACTCCTGGCGATGCCCGGTCCAGGAATATAGTTCACAATGGCTAGCGCCACACCACCTATGTGCATGAAGTTCGTGGCATATCGTGGCAGGACGATTCTGCTTGTATTGTCGACGCATGCTAGATGAGACAGCCAGGGATGCAGAAACAGTAACGACCTCAGCAACAACTGTCGAAGGACCCACAACTACAATAACGAGGCCCATACGAGTGCTACTGCACTCGAAAAACTGACAGGCTAGGTGAGTAGCAGCTTTCCGGAAAAAGAAGTACTCGGTTCAGTTATCATCAGAATCAAGATGCCTGTGTTCACTGCGACACATCTGAAAGCTTTGGATGATTGCACTTCGCTTGCGCAGGCTTTGTCTCTTCGAGCCCAGGGCCCCACCTTATCGGAGTTTTGCCCCCCCCCCCCGTCGGGTTCCTGGCCGGCACGGGTGATGTCCCAGGTCCGCGTGCGGCCCAGCCGCTTTCGAACTGTCAGGACCTGTCCCATTGTCCTCCTAAGCCCTGAACACCCTAAACCCTGAACCCTAAATCCTGAACCCTAACCCCGAACACAATACGCAGCTTTGACTGTGGTCGCAGGAAAAGCAGCTTCTGGTCGTTCTGCGGCTTGACTTCACCGGTATGTAACGTATCTGAAAGAGGATGCAGGTCATTTGCCGACCACGCGCCTCTTCCCTTGTGAGGTGGACCAGGGAATAGAGTCCGCACTCCTGGCCAACGCTTGGGGCTTAGGGCCCTTGGCCTAGACAAGGTTTGGGTACGTAGTTTTTGGGTTTTGGGATGTTTGGGTTCAGAACTCTAAGAACAACTCCTGCCTCTTGTTTGAAGATTGTGCTACTGCCTGCGAGCTGCCAGAAACACTCCTGGAGCTCAGGGCTATGGCTCATGTGCAAAGATTCTGAACGTCGAGTCGAAGATCGCCGACATGGACATGCTCTCGAGTTACTTTCCTGGCAGTGCTGCTACCTGCTTGACGGAAAACCCAACTCTACATACACAAACTCGATGAGTCCCACTGTTGATCCCACCATATACTCCTCATCGGATAAAAGCTCAGCGATGTCGTTGCACCGAGCATAAAGCACGACGAAAGCCTCCACCTCGGTGTTGGGAGTTGTCATGGCATCACAGCTGTCGATGATCTGACGTGCTGATCGCTGATGTGCCCGTAATAGACTCGGGCAGAAAATGACATCAGTCAGTGGCAAAAGCATGACAAAGCGCGCAAATCATAATCCTCTATACCAAGAAATATGCAGCTCCGTGGGCGGAGGATCGCCCATAAAATATCAGCTAGTGAAGCCATCTTCAGGAGCCAATGACTTCGAAAGAAGCTTGCTGCATGCAGTCTTACGCCCCCTCCATCTTGACACAGCGCCTTCGGCATGCCAAGCAAATAGGTCGTGTTCAAAAAGGTTGAGGCTTTCGGAACCTCACCCTAGCCGCGCCACTCGTGGCGAATCCCGGATCTCCGTATCCAGCTCCAAAGCTGTGGCTGGAAGTGCTTCAAGAAGCCAGCCTCAGCATTAGAGCGCTTGAGCTGCTGGGTCGCTTAATATACAATCTAGATCAATCTAGTGCCGAAGCGCTGATTATATTGCTGCTAGCTCCAGGGTGCGAGAAAGACTTGAGTAGCTCGTACATGCGAATTCTAAGCCGCTACACACGTACTCTGGTTATAGTCCAACCGGACCTCGAAGGCAAGGGCCCTGTGCAGCCACCGTGTCATGCCTGCTCTCGTCATAGTATATAGGGAACGATCTACTCCGGAGCGGGGGCTCCGTCATTGATGACCGCATCCTTTTGGATCTCGTTTTGGTTTATGGCTTCGGGGTGTGTCGCGCCGACAACCAGAAAGGAGCAAATCATGTGTGAGTGCAAAGACAGCCTCCACTAGCAGGACCAGCAAGGCTATGTGAGACTACAAGCCTGGAAGTGGCGTCGGAATAAAACATCTCAGGGTCTAAGCGTCTCTTTGCAGGGGGCTCTTTCTAAGATGCCTGTCTCGGCAAAAGCTTACTGCTATGCAGACGTTCGAGTATCCCCAATTCGGAGCATGGGAATTCCTTAAAATTATGGGTGTCTCTCTCTCGCTCTCTGTCTATCTATTTCTGTTTCTTTCGCCAGGGCTGTGGTGGGGAGTTGCCTCCCCACCGCGCGCATGTGCGCCCCCGCCTGTTGCGGGTGTCAAGAGCTTAAGACAACATGCACGAAAGATTCATGGCTCGCACAAAACAGATTAAGGCATCACTCCGGATCACAACAAACCATGTAAATAAAGGGCTTTTACAAGATGAAGGCTTCCGATTTGTGCGATACTGCCTGTGCTGCTGGGTCTATCTATTTCTCTCCGTCTCTCTCTCTCTCTCTCTCTCTCTCTGATGTATACGCAGGACTTAGGCACCTGGATCTTTAGGGTGGGGCAGTCGGAGCCGTGGGGCCACACTGCTCTGGTGTGAGCACGAGGCGATGCGCAACGGAGCGGAGGACCTTCACCTTGAGACTCCTCGGCTGGGAGCTCTCCTTCCTGTTCACTACTACTACTACTACTACTACTACTACTACTACTACTACTGCTACTACTGCGACCACCGTGACATCCACTATGACGACCGAGTACAAGTCGGATGTTAAGATGCAGCCAGAACGAATGCAAAGAATTGGAAGACTGCAACCTTCAACAACTACTATGTACTGTATCATCAGTTTGGAAAATATGCCGGAATTGGACTGCTGGAACCGGGCACTGCTGTGGCGTTCGATAGTGTGGGACGTCGTGGCTGTAGCATGTCGGAAAGCTCGGTGCTTTGATACTCCCGATGAATAGCATAGAAGCAGGATCGCAATGTATAGAATCCCCAGACTGGGTCGTTGCTCAATCCATGTGACTGGGGTAAGTTTCTAGGAGCATTGAGACACAATACCAAGGCCTCTTTAGGGGCTCTTTCTTATCGAAGCCTCTATTCGTTCCTACAGCGATCCACCGCTGCCAGGATGCTGGTTGAAGTCCATGGTCGTCAAGGCCTTCCAGGTGTCTGGCTAATCTGTCTTCGGTTTCCTGAAACGCATTAACCTGAAGGGCGAGCTTTGTGGTCTCCATCATTCACCTCTGCTGCCTTTGGTAAGCCTAGCAATGTCATCCGCAGTGCAGGATGCAAAACATAGAATGCAGACGAAGTGAGCCTACCTGATGGAAGGACTTAAGCGTGTAGACATGAAGTAAGAAGCGCCCGGATGCTGACAAGCCAGTCATTCCAGAGGAATGCGGCGAAGAATGCACCACTTTGTGCATGTTCAAAGGGTGAATTCCGAAGCGTTCTCAAACTGAGACCTTCAGAGGATTCCAAGGACTGGCTGCACCTGTCTGAGCAGGCGGACGGTTCGATCCGGCGTGCTTGGCGTGCCTCCGAGCCAGGAGCATTGAGCATCGATGTGTATAACATAATGAATGTTTCTCCCTCGTTCTAGCTCTTTCTCTTCAGTTGACTTCTTTCTCACTTCACTTCACTTCACTTCACTTCACTTCACTTCACTTCACTTCACTTCACTTCACTTCACTTCGGGGTTCAGAGGGTGTGTCAGCCCCCTGCGCTGAAAAGCGCGCCCTGTTTAGAGGCTTTTAGGGGCAACAACAGTCGAGCTCGGAAAAAGATATGGTTCCCCCATCAGTTGGAAAAAGATACATTTTTTTTTCCTCAGGGCTGTGGTGCAGGGGTTTCCCCCTGCACCTGTATCTTTCTCCCTCTCTCTCTCTGTCCCTGTCTCCCTCCCGGGCATAGGGGACTGTCCTGGTCCAGGTCCAACCCGCTCAAAAGCACCGGGACAGGAGATTGAGAAACGAAAAGCTGCGAAGGCGCGGGCTAAAGCCATGAAGTAATATCAAGGAGCATGCCTCGCATCTTTGTCGAGATCTAGGGAGAGCAAAATTACGACACCGGATGAATTGGCCTCGGGGAAAGGTGCTTAAAATCGACGTGTAAAAAAGGAGCGTGGCAGCAGGAAGCTCTCCCTCTCTCTCTCTCTCTCTATGTACACGTGCGCAAGCACACACACACACACACACACCAGCTACTACCGTAGGACAACTCCAACTTAACAGATCAGGCACTGGGGACCTCCTCTCACAAGGTCCCGAACGGCCTCCCCGCTGGGAACTCCATGGTGGTATAAGTTCGTTGGAGCAACTGTCGTCCTTGGGGTGTATGCCATTTTTTTGCGAAGCTGCTCCGGGGCCGGGCCGAAGCCGACGACATTTCTGAACTCAGCCAAACTCCCCCGGACTCTCCGGATGGTAACGGCCTTGCTTTGGATGGAATGGGGAGCAGTAGTCGAACTTGATCTCTGCTCTTGGTGGCAGCTGTACGTCCGCGCTCCTTTCCAAGGGCTCAGTCTTCAAGGGCTCTGACAGAAAGGGACAACGAAGTACAGGAGCCTCCATATGCGATAGTTGCCGTTCACAGAGCAATTCCGTATGCACTCGTGATCCTTGGCTGCGCGTTCTCTGTGCATTCTCGTGCGTCGGCACGAACCTCGCTTGGATTGAGTGACTACGGGCCTAACACATCAGATCGACTCCGGTACCTTTAGTGTCTGCAATGGCAATCAGCAGAAGCATGCCAAGCTATCCCAAAGTAACTGCGGCATCCACAGTATCAGTTGCTTCACTACCGCCCTGGCTTGCCACGGCACTCCATGCTTGCTCAGGTCTGGTCGACCCAGTCTTTTGGCTCGATCACCTGTTCGGGATCGGTTGAATGATCTGGGAAATACCACGACGATCCGAACTGACTGATGCAACTGAAAAACAAGGTCTGGCAGCTGTAGGAGATTCACTCCAAGTGACAAAATCATGGAGTTGAATTTCTGAAGCCTGCCGTTCGTTGCAGCGTGAACCCTTCAGACCAGCAGCCTACGCTTTTTTGCTGAGAGGGAACGCTCCCAGTGGTTGACAATAATCAGGTCATCCAACATCTTTCGATGTGCCGGTTCTGTCACCTGGCACTTGAACAAAGAGCTTCAAGAGCCTTGCTTTACCAAGCACCGTTTTTCCTGGATCGACGACGAGTAGGCCGCCAAGATATGACGACCAGCACATGTTTGACTCCAACATGCGAGCATCAGACTGAGACAATTCTGTCTGTCGTACGCTTGGTGAGGGCCATATCATAGAGCTCTTGATGTCACAGTGGCTGCACTCCAGCAAAGGCTCTCCCATGCAAGCTTGCTTCTGGCCCGGGGTGCCGAACCAAGCCTGTAGGCTGTAGGCTAGGCTAAGTTTGGGCCCGGAGCCCCGAGAAACGTTGAGAGCAACTTGGCGGCAGACATCGAACTCGTAGCGCCCGTCGGCACCTCAGCTGCCAGCAAACACCCCCTGTCACATTAGACAGCCACGGTTTCGAGCAGATCGCGGGCAACTCCGAAACACTTCGACGAAACGTAGCTGCATCAAAGCAACACGCGGGGTTGAAGAGAAGCAGGTTCACGATGGCAGCCCGATCTCTGCAAAGTGAAGCCTGCTTGAGTAAAAAGCATGGCTTAACGGAAGGAGGCTTGGTGCTGACGTTCACCGCAATAGTGCTTCGTTCCTGCTCTCGATGTTGATAACATACTCGGCGCAACTAGCACTTGAACGTTCAGCAAAGAGGTGTCATCAGTTATGGGTTTCCTTGTTTCAGAATTCGGCTCATCGTCGTTTCGTCTTGCGGAGTTTGACCTTACCAGCTTCAAGCCTTGCACAAGTGACCCTTGGCGATTGTCACCTACATCTATTGCAGTCGATGTTGCGGCGAACATCGATTTGTGGCATCGCAGTGGTCCCTACACTGCCCCCAGATGCCTTTTGGTGAACAGAGTTGACAGCAAGGTCAAAGCCACCTGGCGAGCCGGGCAGTGAACATGCAGTCCGCGGCAGGAGCTTGAAGAACCTGCTTAAGCTTGAAATCCTGGCTCTGGTGCTTCAGCAACTGCTAAAAGGTGCAGGTTTCACGAGCTAAGTCACTCAGTACTCCTTTGCAGAGGTCGTCCTTCACTTCAGCATTACAAGCTCCATCCGGAGTCTCTCTCCTCAACCCTGCAGCCTCCAGCACGGACTCTCCAGTCAGTTCTTGACACGATTGTCCCGCCTAGAGTGTTGATCTCCGGAACTGCTGGCAGCAGTCTGTCAACGACTTCCCCTCGCCTGGGATGTTCATGCATGCTGAAGTTGTATTCAGTTGATCTACATGCGGAGGCCTAGATCGTGAGCTGATAGGGCCGTCACGGAATCCAAACCTTCTATGGAGATACCCATGAAATGGTGCCCATCATACGTTCAGCTCGTTCAGACATTACTAGACAAGCTGTGCATGGAAACAAAGCATGCCGTACAGGTCTTCGAACCTGACCAGTTGTGCGCAACGAAAACGAAATCTCTGCAGCCGAGATGCAACACTGGATCCAATTCCGAGAGATACCTGCAACTTCTTGCAAGTCATGCTGTACAACATCTAATGGCAACGCGGTAGAAGTACGCGTTGGAGATCTCAAGTCCTGGTGCAACCTTGTTCAGAATGCGCACACGACACAGCATCAAGGTGCATCAGCTGACAAGGCAACGCTCGCCACATTGAAAGCCCAACCCCATACGCTGAACTCGAAACCTGGACTCCCTCGACAGCACTTGGCAGCAATTCCATCCTGACATGGCTGAGCTTGAGGTTGAGGTCTGCAGCCATTGCCTGCGCTTGCAATTTGCAGGTAAGCCCTCAGCCGTTGAGGACATGTAGGCGCTTTGGGCTGCTGAGGTGTGCTGGGTTGGGGCAGCTCGATTCCCTTCGGCTCCACGAAACGTGCTGCTGCCACGAGCTTGGACTTCCGTCGTAAGCTGGAGTTTCCAGTCACCAGAGCCAAAATCCCGCTCACTCTACTGCGTCAAGCATGTAACCTTGCAGCAAAGACGCCGCAACAGTAGCAACCAGCTCGATTCTGCAAGAAGCCCTGAAGCTAGAACCCGGAGCCTTTCCCTACAATCCTCTGTGTTGCAAAACCTTTGTGGGCCTTTTGGCTTTTCGGTGTGATAGGAAGGAGCCACAACTTGGAACCGAACCGGAATGCCTGAACCGCAGAGCAATTTCAGGCTGCCCTAAACCCGAAACTCACTCAATGGCCAGGCACCTCCAGAAAGAGAAGTCGTGCCTCGCCAGACCGGGTTTTTTGGACTCGAGACACTCAGGGTTGGCTGTTCGCATGTTCGTGTCCGAGCTTGGAACTCGGAAGTCAAGGGGCGGGGAAGGTGAGGCTGCGAGGATACAGCTAGTGATTGATTGGTTCACAAGTCGACTGACTGTCGTATGGCCCCTCGCAGATCTTTGGTAGCCGAGAGCACAGCCGTTTTCCGGACGACCATGTGCGTTGATTCACGCTGCAAAATTGGTCTCCCCCTTGTGGCCTCTACATCAGCCAGGCTGTTGAAGAGCTGTGCCACCTGCGCAGAAAACCAAACCGCTGTCTAATCACATGTACGGTTTTGTGTGGAATTAGTGCTATTCAATGATGAGGGTACTGATGACGATGATGATCATGACGACGTCGACGATGATGATTGGCAGTGTGAGGGCTTTCTTCGTCTGCCTGTATACGACGATGAGCAACGAGCATGAGTTCCTCCAGACGTATCTCCGTCATGGCCTTGACAAAGTCCACGAGGCCAACCTTGAGTTTCCGCTTCTGATTGATCCTGCCGGCGCTCATGTGAGACTGTGCGGCCGTGCGGAGCAAGGTGACTCGGGTTGTGACAAGTGTGGTGAGCAAGGGCTAGAGTATCGCAGATCATTGATCGTCCTTGCCTGGCCATGCGACAAAAGAGGCAAGTATCATCACAATTCCAACCACCACAACCTCCGTAGCACTGCTAGGCTTAGCCTGTTTAAGTTCGCCAGCTGAATCGTGCAAACTGAAGGCCAGCCTGAAATTTAGCGTCTACAGGAGGGCGGTAGTGGAGGGCGGGGCATCTTCGGACGGTCCGAGAGATCAGGGTCGTCGCATCCTGGTCGCTGCCCAGCCTTGGCAAAGGTGCTACTCTATACGTGGTATTTCTTCCCCGAGGTGGTGTCATGTCTTTCAACGCTTGCCAGCGCCTTTGCTATCTCCAAGCAGCTTACAAGATCATTCTACTGAGCAATTAGCTTATGAGTAGTTGGCGGTGATGGATGATTTCACAGAAGTGTAGCGATCTAGATACTCCGGATAGTCATCTAAAGCCATCTATCCAACTAGATTTTCGACGGCATGAAGACGGTGACTTGCAGGGGATTTGAAGGATTGTGGTGGAACTGGGAATAAGGACCTGTGAAGCGAACATTGCAATAGACATGATGGCACGGTGCTCCGAATGATACACTACGTGGGTTCATTCGTGCATCACGGATGCAGGCCAGAGTGTGCCGCGGAGTTGTGGGATGAGGTGAGAACTTCTGGATTAGGTTAGCTAGTTGGGAGAGAGGCTGTGTCAGCTTTGATGTAGGACGATTTTACGGCGTAGCGTCGTGCGGGCAAGCTTGTCTTCTGGTTTAGATGCTGCATTGCAGTGGAGATGAGTTTTGCAAACTGTTGGAGGTGCGTTGGGCGGGAACGTACCCTGAAGCTCTTACAAATGGCCCACAGAGCAAGGGTAGGGATCAAGGCTCAACCGGCCAGAGAGGGGACTGACAGAAAGACCAAGTCCATCTGGGTGCGGTGCTCCATCGGGAATCGGAAGCTGAAGCTTACCATTCCTGTCATGTGATTCTCGCGGGGTCGTACGATCTTTGAAGTGTTAAGCGATCATCTACTATGGGAGCTGTCTTGTGCGTCATGGAGAGTCCAGTTGGAGGGACTCAGCAAGCAGGTAGGCATCCAGTGTCCACACTTCCGAGGTTGTAGGATGTTGTAGGTGTCCCAGGTCCGTTCAGGAAATGACGAGCCAGTAGTGCCTTTGTGCGGAACCTGAGCTGGAACTCCACTGATCCACGGCAGCGTCTAGACCCTCATGATCTGAGCCGCTACTTCATATGTATGTAGCCATTTCGTGATCCGAGCTTCACATGATGTAAGCCCTGAGCTCTCAGACTCAGCTCCGAGCGGTTTGGGTCTTGTTCCAGCCCTGTAGAACTTCATCACCTCGCTCCTGAGCAGTGTGGCTTGAGGCAGCCTCGCGACCTGGCTTCATCCAACCCTGAAGCCTGACAAGATTGGACTTCGGAAAGCCTCAAACCCTGAGCCTGAATTCTTGATCCCGGGCAGCAACCAATGGCTCGACATTCCGGGCTCCAACGGACAAAACATCCCCAAAACCCCAAGTTCTCCGAGGATGGGACCTCGAAGGCAAAGAGCTCCTGCATCGGAGTCGACAGCTTCTGCGTGCGCCTTCCAAAGCATCCAGGCTCGGGTACAGCGATTATGGGTTGGGGATCCGTGGACGGTGAAGGACAGTTGCGCCTGTGCTACATCTGCTCGAATCTTTCATTTCATGACGCTACGTCGGGGCTTAGGGCTTACTAGGGGCTTCAGGTATCAAGCGGCCTTGCAAAGAAAGCGACTGCCTGAGGGTTCCGAGGCCCACAACCGCCACTTCTAATCCCAAACGACACGTCGCTTAACCGCCGAGCGGCCTGAGCAGCATGCGCAGCAATGCCCGATGCTGTGGATGCTCCAAGTTCAGATCATAATGAGCTGTAGGATCCGACTGCTCCTGAGTGTGACGTCGCGATGCGTGCATGCCTTTGCCTCTTCGTCTGAAAACAGAACCTAGGTGGCTACTTTTCATAAAGACCCGAACCCTTGTGTAGCCTTTTGAGGTAATGTCCCAAAGTGAGCGAAACATTTAATTACGACATATACGTTTTCCATAATTGCATTACAACCGACCGCAATCCCGTTAGAGCCTCTGTCTCAATCTTTGCTCTAGAGCACCGGCTACATATAGTCATATAGCTTCTTCATAACCCATCCTTGCGCGACAGCTTCTAGGCCAGGCGCTCGTACGTCCAATTTATCAAGCCGTTGTGTGCTGTATTCCTTAGTAACATCTCCTGGAGCCCCATCAAAAGCCTTGTCCCAGTCCCGACCATTCGATTCCTCGGCATTTGACATATAAGCGGAAACACGGGACTGCAGTTCCCGAACTCACTCTTGCAAACCTGGTATTCCAGAATGTTCAGACCATTATAATCTGTGGAACCTTGCTTGCTTCTTCAAAGTTGATACTCTTTGAAAAAAGCACCGTGTCCCTCCTCGAAGAAGTTTTACAGATCATCCTGGCCTTTGACTTACTCCGGAAGCTGCGTACGCAACCTGTGGTGGCAGCAGTCTACACGTCAAACTTCATGTCTAGCAAGCTGAAACTCGGAAACTAACCAGACACCGTAAGGTCCACCTGGTCCTGCAGTGAACCGGCTACAACATCAAATCTCTCTTCTTTCATGTTTTAGCGCCCTCGGCCAGCATGCGATGGATGACTATCACAACCAGTTTTGCTCGTGCGATCTGCTGCGAAGACGAGGACTCGCGGGAACTGAAAGATCTGCACTTGAAGACCCCAGCTTCGCGACAAGTCCAAAGTGCAGTCAAGGTCTGCTTTCTGCTTTGCAGCTCAGCCTGAAACTGAGACCCTCACTGATTCGAGAGTTGCCAAGTCCAAGACAAGTCAGAGCCTCTGCTTGCGCTTTGGACGGCGCCACTAGGATTTCCAATGCTTGGGCGCGTCCTCCGGCATAACCCGGGAATCCATAGATAGAACCTCGGCCACGCAGCTGCATTCTCAAACTCGATTTGCGAATGTCTTTGACAGAAACAGACTTAACTGAATGTGTTTGCTATTGGTTTGTTCATCCAACCATGCATCAATCCATCAAGTTATCCATCCATCCAGCTGCAAGCATGATGTGTGGTGCTCAGGCGTCCGCAGGGAAACTAGATGTATGCATGCGGCAGAACGAATGCAGCTCCTCTGTCCCGAGCGGCTCAACTTCAGTCTCAACACCTGCCTGATGAGACCTGGCCTCGCGTCCTTGTGAGTCTACTGATCCTGCCGTGGTTTGCTCTAGGTACTTAAGAGCTCAGCTTCCGACCTTTTGCTTGGCCTTCTCTTCCAGGGCTATCATGTGCAGCGTGCCTGCAAAGATGAGATGGCATGCATGGCTCCCGTACAAGTTTGATACATGCATCCTGAGTGCGATGACTAGTTGGCATTATGGCTACCACGTTGACAACGTCCAGGACGGCTACTGCTGCTAAGGCAGCCGTTTATACTGCCACTTCCACTACCGAAGACGACGACTGCTGTTAATTACTATCCCAACAAGACGTACAACAAGTACAGCAACTACAACAGCAGCAACGGCAACGGCAGCTGCAGCGGCAACAGCAACGGCAACCACAATCACAACCACCGCAACCTCAACCTCAACTACCACCACAACCACAACAACCACAACCACAACCGCGACAA